TGAGATGCTCACCTTCCCAACACGATCACTGAAAACAAATGGGTGCATAAGCAAATGTGGTGAAGAAAGCTGATGGTTCCTGACTATCAAAAGATATAGCATCTCGGGTCTTAAAGGCTTGAGGATAAACAAGTGGCCATCTAGCTGAGAAGCAACAAAGCCCACATGGAAGAAGCACACCAGCCTGTGTGGTCATGAGGTGTGGATGGGATCAGGTATCAGGCATCAAGACCCAGAACAAAAAATCATGTTGATGTGAATGGGCAGTGGGGGAGTATGGATTGGAGGCCCAAAGCCAATCTGCAGGCAATTGGGCATCCCCTTGCAGAAGGGTCACGGGGAGAAGACAGGCCAGTCAGGGTTCAGTATAGCACCGATGAAACATGCACCTTTTCTCTGGTTCTTTAATGCTTCTCCCCCCACTATCATGACCATAATTCTACCTTACAAATCTGGATAGACCAGAGCATGTTCATGGGTACACATAAGAGCTGGAAACACAGGAATACAGGACAATATTGAGAGTACCCATACCAGGAGGGGAAGGGGAAGGTGGGGGGAGAAAGAGGGAACTGATCACAATGACCTAACTATAACCCAGTCCCAGGAGGATGGACAACAGATAAGGGAGTAAAGGGAGCCATCAGACAGTGCAAGGCATGGGAAAATAATAATAATTTAAAAATTATCAAGTGTTCATCAGGGAGCAAGGGAGGGGGATAAAGGGGAAAAAATGAGGAGCTGACACCAAGGGCTCAAGTAGTAAGAAAATGTTTTGAAAATGATGATGGCAACAAATGTACAAATGTGCGTGAGACAATGGATCTATCTATGGATTGTGTATGAGACTCCAATAAAATGATTAAAAAATAAAATAAAAAGGGAAGAACACACTCAGTATACCTTAAACTGAAAGAACTAAATAAAATTCAAGCCTTTATTTGAAATGTTGAAAATTCTGTGGTTGAACTATGGAAGGATGTAGGTAGCATCAAGAGAAGATGGGAAGAATGTAGAGATATTTATCAAAAAAAACTAGCTGACATTCAAACATGTCAAGCATATGCTCATGAATGGTACTGATAGAAGAAGCCCAATCTGCATCGGGAATGTTAGTCAGAAATAAGGCTCCATGAATTTAATGAAATACCAGTGAAAGCGTTTCAAGAAGCTGTTGAAGCACTGGAAGCACTCACTATGCCAAGACATTTGGAAGACAGTTTCTTGGCCAGCTGACTGGAAGATCTGTTCTGTATCTGTTCCAAAGTAAGGTGGTCCAACAGAACACTCACTATCACATGCTTATTGACATCACATGCAAATAAACATTTTCTGAAGATCATCCAACAGTTGCAGCAATACATCACAGGGAGCTGTCAGATGTTCAGGTTGGATTCAGAAGAGGATGTGGAACAAGGGATTCATTGCTGATGTCAGAGGGATCTTGGCTGGAAGCAGAGAATACCGAAATAATGTTTACTTGTGTTTCATGTTTCAGTGACTATGCCGAGGTATTATCTCGATGGATCATAACAATGAATAACCTTGAGAAGAATGGGAATTTCAGAACACTTCATTGTGCTCCTTTGGGACATGTGCATGGATCAAGACATAGTGGTGGGCTAAGAAGTTCTACATGAGCACACTGAAGTGTTCTGGAATTCCCATTGTTCTCAAGGCTATCCATAGTTACTTATGATACATACACACAGTCAGATGTCTTTGCACAGCAAAGAAAACACACACATAAAGAGATAGTTGTGGGAACCGAACGAGGGGCTATTGCATGGTTAAAAATCAGGAAAACTATGCATCATGGTCGCATCCTCTCACCATACTTATTTAATCTGTATGCTGATCAAATAATTAGAGAAGCTAGATTACATGAAGAAGGATGCAACATCAGAAGTGTAGGGAGGCTTTATTAACAACTCATGATATGTAGAAGACACAATCTTGCTTGCTGAAAGTGAGAAGGACTTGAAGCACGTGCTGACGAAGATCAAGAATTGTAGCTTTCAGTGTAACTTAACTCAATGTTTAAGAAAACCCAAATCCTCACAACTGGACTAGTAGTTAGCAGTACGATACAGGGAAAAAAGATGGAAGTGGTCAAACATTTCATTTTACTTGGAGGTACAATTGATGCTCATGGTAGCAGCTGTCAAGAGATCAAATGATGCATTGCATCATTGGGTAAATCTGCTGTACAAGACCTATTGTTTAATTAATCAGGAATTAATACACATATCATTCTATAGGTCAGTCATGTCAAGCAGAATTGTATAATTGCTACCACAACGAGTTTCCAAACATTCTCTTTCTTTCTTGACATTGTTGCCCCCTTACCCCACTACACCCATTGTACCCAACCACGACTCGAAACCCTTATTCTACTTGCTGTCCCCATAGGTTCATCTATCCTTGTTTTTGTACCAAAAAACATTTAACACAACTTCGAGAGAGTGACTT